AGGAGGAGCCGGGGCCATCCACTTCTCAAAGAATTGGCCAGTGAAAACCTTATGAACAGCAGTGAAACACTGTCTGGTATATTACTGGAAAACCAAGAGGTGAAGTTGTCAAATTCATAAGTACGTAAGAATCCCACTCTCATGAGATTCCAAAAGTTCATGTTATAGAACTATTCTATTAGTGACCTTAATAGTATAACCTATTTTTTTCATTAATTATAATGAAGTATGAGATGGAATAGTTTTATACAGTATTTTACCCTGAGATTATAGCAAACTATTATACAATGTTTCCAAGTAGATCAAACATAAAATAAAGAAAGAAGTTACAGAGGCTAGTACTGACAAACAGATCAATTAATTACTGTATTTTTAGTCAATTTAGGTTTTATGTCAGTAGAACAAGGTAGAAAAGTGATAATCTTGAATGAGTTTAATAGAATCAATTCCATTAAAAGAACTGTTATATCAAGTATCTCTTCTGAAGAAACTTTAAAATAGTACTTACTGTCTAAACACACTAAAACTGTATCTCTCTCCAACTGTGTTACATGAATGGAATCTAACTGTTGGCTGCCTAGAGGAAAAAAAAGGTTACAGTTAAAAAACACTACTTTATAAAAGTAAAACTCAGAAAATAAACACAAATTCTGACTTTTGCTATCACTTAAAACTAATCTTTGAATTCTAACACAGAGATTGTATTTTTTAATGATTGTTATATTTTCAAAAATTATATGTTAGTCAAATTAGGAAAACAACTTATATTCTAATTTAGCTGAGAACTCCTCAATATTTCATTTAATTACTACATCAGCAAATTCTAGAAAAGTGAGTTACAAAGATAAAAATGAGAGAAACAGGAAATATGAGGAAGAAAGTATATATACTGTATATAATGGTTAGATTTTTGCTCTTTGCTTTCCCAGTGGGAAGATGGAAACAAGATCAGTTAAGTTACAGTGTTCCTGAGATAAAATAAAAGAACCAATGATTCTGATATAGCAAAAAGATTAATGATACTATAGTCAGAGAGAAATTTCTCCAGGTATTGGGAGTGTCTGTGAAGGTGGTGGTGGTAGGAAGAGGGTCCTTTACAAAGAAGACACTAACATAACGAAGAATATTGTTAACAACATCTTTGCAAAAAACAATTCTCATCATTTTGCTGATATCTACAGGACTGCTTAATTGCTAAAAGATGTGATAATATTTTTGCTAAACATTCTATGCTCAGCACTCAGATCTTAAGAATGGTCTGGCTGAATCTAAGAACAGATTTTAGATTATTTAGTGCAGTGCTTACTTTGGGAAGTCCATGAATCCTCTACCTGGAAAAAATTTTGGGAAAATAGGAAAGCCGGCAATTCAGAGACTATCAGAAGATGCCTTGGGACCAGACATTCCCTGACAGCAGAGGCTGGTAACTCAGCCTCTTCCCCTCTTTCCTCTTTTTCCTGGGAAACTCCCTCCCTGTTCTGGGTACACAGAAAACTCTCAGCTCTGCTTATGCATGCACATCATGTGGCACCTGGCCAACCTTATTACTATATCAGTTCTTGCAGGAAGGTAATAATGTCTGTCATCTGCAGCACAGAGGGGTGTGTAGAGACAACCAGCCCTCTGCTGGCTGTGGAGTGACCTCTTGGCTATGGGGGACAAACGCCCACTAATGAAGCTGACTTTGCTCTGTCTCTTCTCTATGTGAGTAAAGCAATGTTTTAAACAGTGCCTGTAAGTTATGTCTTTCTCAAAGACCTCAGACATTGGCTCAAAAATATTATTTCAGGGTGCTTATGGATCGTCCAAAGCCCATTAGAATTCTTCACAGTGAAGAATTCGGAACTACAGAATCCATAAACTGTCTCTCAGACAACTCTCTAAAATAATAGTATTTCTCAGGTAACCTATGTTCATGCATTAATTCACAAATATTTCCTAAAATATCACAATATGGTAAAAAGCACCCTAGGTAATGAGAACACAGCCTACAGCTATAAAAAACAATAAGACAAAGAGTATTGGAGTAGAAGCACATTTAACTGTTATTGTTGCCAGTTCAAGGCAGAGTCATGTCCTTTTTGACCGTGAACACAGATGGAAGGTGGATTAGCAACCACTTATGAAAACTGAGATGCCTAAAGGGGCAAAGTACTGGACTAGCAAGGCTGCTGCACCTCTATTTTAGGGTGATACTGGAATGATTCCCTCAGGCAGAGTCCTGGTCCTCCTCAGGAAGCAATTTTGGGCCTCTTAATTTTCACCTAGACAATTTTAAAAGTGGGAAATAGTATACCTCAGGCATTCAAAAACAAAGCAAAGAACAATAAACTCTCAAAAAACCCCAAAACTCAAAAGAAGAGTTTGGACTAGGTTGTTAAATTTTTAGGAATTTTGTCAATCAGTTGACATCAAGATGATGTCTTCAAATTGACCATGTTGGGAGTCAATACCACAGAAATAGGCAACTGCTACACACCAGCCTTCCCTGCAACTCAAGAGCCTGTTGTTAAACATTTACTGGGACATCACTGGTTCATAATGATTCTTATTCTGAAAGTGAAAGTGTGGACTCTACAGTATCTTCCACAGCTAAATTCCAAAATGAATTCTTACAATTTAGCCTATGTTATGGACTGAACTGTAGTACCCAAAAATATGTGCTGAAAATCCCAACTTCTGTATCTATGCATGTAATCCCATTTGGAAGCAGGGTTTTCTTTGTTAAGTTAATGAGATGATATCAGTGTAGAGTGTGTCTTAAGCCAATTACTTTTGAGATATAAAAGGGCAGATTAGGCACTGAACCAAGCAAGCATAAATGGGGAAAAGAGACATGTCACATGGAGATCTCCAAAGAATAACGAAAAATGCTAGAACAGTTGGGACAAGGATCTTTCCTCAGAGCAGTGACAGAGGGAAAGCCTTCCCCTAGAGCCAGTGCCCTGAATTCGGACTTCTAGCCTCCTAAATAGTGAGAAAATAAATATCTGTTGCTAAAGCCACCACTTACGATATTTCTGGTAGTGCATCAGTAAGAAACTAAAACAGACAATAACTGTCCAAAAGTCAAAGATATTTCACAAAAAAGATACTTGTAAAGGATTTCTTCACAAGGTAGTAAAGAAGGTAACAGTGGTCATATAATGAAACAGCCACAACAAAAGCCTGTTTGATTTCATATGTAAAAATGGCTTGAAAAATCTGAGGCTGCAAATGATCAAATACCAGCACAATAAGTAGGGAACTGGTATATGAAGATCCCTCCTTTCCCTTATGCAGTTTTAAAAAGTGAATTCTTGATTGATTTTGTTCTAATTAAAAATGTGAAAATAAATTTCTCAATCTTTTCTGAGGCTTCACTTAAGTATATTTAATACAAATTCTATGCTAATCAATCATTTTCATTTGGAAAGTGCAGAAGACATTTCACTTATCTTTAATTACTGATAAAGGTTGGAGGTCACACTTGAGAAGCTTCTTTCTATTCAAATTTGAAAAGCACACTAAATGATTCAAAGTGAGGGAAATAAAGCAACAACAAGAAAAAAAGGTAAATCTCTTTGCTTAAAAAGCTGATAAAATTTGAAAAATAACTTAAAAGAACTCAATTATCTATCAAGTCCAAGGATGAACTGGTAACAACTAAGACCATTTTTAATTGTCAGGAATCTTTAAAATTTTTCTTGGTAAAAGAATCTGTGTAAAACTGCCTCTGGCAAATAGATTTATATACTACATGTATATGATTCTCTGGGCTTACTCAAGAAACTATGTGCTGAATATTTAAAAGACTCTAAGCTGGCTGAACCTGTTATTTATATATATATATATATATTTATTTATATATATATATATATATTTATTTATATATATATATATATATTTTTTTTTTGCATGCAAAAGCATCAGTATTCTAATATAAGATGAAAAATACTTACCTGCACCAATTTCTGTAAACCACGAAGATGCAGAGTTTAAGTTGATTGTCTCAAACTGAACTACCTGATTTAATTCGGTGCCCTTGCTAATAGCTACACAGACCATAGGATATTCTTGTTCCGGTATCACTAGCATTTCAAAAACATTCAAAGGACTTGGCAAAGGGAAATCAAAGTGCTGCAAAAAATAAGAAACAACTATATTTTAGAAACAATTTCCCCATTTATACTGTTGTTGAGCAAAACCAGCAGAAAAGCCTCATTTTTTCAAATTTATCTAATTCTAAAAAGGATACCTTTAAGATAATAATGATGAGTATTTTCAAGTAATTGGCCATACTTTTTTTATGGCTATAATGTTTCTAAAATTTATTAACGTAAGTTAAAGAGGAACTCTTAAAAAGAACACAAAAACCCCTAGTATTTTCTAACAACAACAAAGTAAGCTTAAGTAGTATATACCTTTATCAGCATGAATTTCTGCATTGGCTCATACCACTGGAGTAAAACAATTCCAGACTGTAAAGCTCCACAGAGGTATTTATGTCCTGTATAAGGGTTCCTGACTGAAAAGAAAAACAGAAACATACAGACATGAAACACTGAGTATCTATATATGGAAAATATAATTAGTTAAAAGCAACAACTGACCTATATTCACCTAAAAGCTAACCTAACACTCTTAATAAATTCAGTGCTGATAGGAGGAAAAAGACAATGAAATGTGGCTTGACACTGATAACAAATTATGGAAGAAACTATTTGAAATGGTTATTTAGCTGATATATATAAACATACTGTTTCTGTTCACCACAGAGTCTTTTGGTTTTGTTATCCTTTTTTAACTTGCGTATCTCTGTTTTAAATTATATAATCTTTTTTCTAAAAACTTGTAATAAGCCAAGTTCTTAAACACAAAAACCTTTTACAAGAACAATACTTTAGGCACTAAAAATAGCCTAAAGAGTCACTTCTTAAACAAACTGACTGAAAGGGAATCCTGACAAGACAGTATATGAGGCAATTAAAATCTATGATCCCATTTCTGGTGTAGTAGTTCACATCTATCTACTGTAGACAAGATAAAAATAATTAATCACTTTACATCTTTGACTTAACATCCTTGACTTAAATCTACACAAACTCAACTGGGTCCTTTTTTTCCCTCAAATTGGCTCTGATTGAAAATAATATATGTTGGTGTAAGAGTAGTAATTTATAATAAGCACTCTTTCATTTATTAATTTATATCTTAGACTTTTAGTTTCTAGAGCTTTTTGTGAGTCATAGATCTTGGAAATTTGGTAACAGATATGAACCAATTTCTCCCTAGAAAAATGCTCACAAAACTTGTTTACAATTGTAGGAGGTACATGGTTAAATGTTTCCATTCTAGAGAATAAGAAATTCTTATGTAGCATGGAGATCAATGTGTAAGTTCATTAAATATTAAACAAAAAGGATAAATAGGAAGTTGTAAGCACAAGATCTGAAGTCATTAGACTTGGGTCTAATTCCAGGTTCTGTTATTTATTAGTGATATGACAAGTATCATGGGATTGTTTTGGGGATTAAACGAGATAAGATAATGTCCATAAAGTAGTAATGAATATTACTTATGGTACATAGTAAGGGTTGAATAAAGAACCTGGATAGTGCAATGGTTAAGCACTGTGCTGCTAAATGAAAGGTTGGCTGTTTGAACCTACCACAGGGATTCTGTGAGATAAAAGACCTGGTAATCTGCTTTCATAAAGATTACAGTCTAGGACATCCTATGGGGCAGTTCTACTCAGACTGACTTGACAAAGGTTGGCTGTTTGAACCTACCACAGGGATTCTGTGAGATAAAAGACCTGGTAATCTGCTTTCATAAAGATTACAGTCTAGGAAATCCTATGGGACAGTTCTACTCAGACTGACTTGACAGCACAGAACAACAAAAAGAACAAGTGTTGGATAAACAAAAGCCAGGATAATAGGAGAGATATAACCTCAGTGACAATGGTTAAAAAAACTTTAAGAAAGCAATGTTCAGGGGAAAACATTAAGCATACTATCTCTTAAGATTTTTATTTCATGTCCCAGTCATATTCTTGTGCTTCCATAGTCCACTGACCATTTCATGACTGAATTAATTCCTGCTTTGAATTTGTTTGTTGATACTATGTGTTTTAATATAAAGCAAGCTGCAATCAAGAGAAAAAAGTATTTTTAAGGTAATAAGGATTTTGATATAATTATGTGGGACATACATGTCTCAAGTGGACTTTGGCTAGATTGGTGTGGTGAACTCTGGTTAGACTGGTGCGGTGAGGCCTGTTTCTTCAGATTCATGCAGTTATAAAGGTCCCCACCATGCACTACAACTGGGATAGCAGCCCCCAAAGGAACCTGAGGCTAAAAATGATGGTGAGCGATATATACGCCATGAATCATTAAAGGGTTAACCACTTAATAAAAACAAAAAGCCTACCCTCCTTTCTATTTAATTCTGTAAGATGTTTTGGGTAATTTTAAAGATGTCAAACATTCTAACCACCCAGTTTAACAAATAGTATTTACTCACCTATGCAACATTTGTGACAGCCTTTTGTATCAGGAATCTTTGTTGTTAAAGCGAACTTTCTGAAAACATAAGACAATATCAATGTACTCTACACAACGCACTGCCATCGAGTCAGATCTGACTCACAGCAATCCCTCCTTGGGTTTCTGAGGCAGTATCACTACGGAAGTAGATTGCCCAACCTTCTTTCTGAGGAGTGGCTGGTGGGTTTGAATGGCCAGCCTTCTGGTTAACAGTCAAATGCCTTAGGCACTATACTACGAGAGCTCCTGTATTCCACTATAGTGGTTCCTTAACAGTAAACTTTGAATCAGCTGTATCAGAATCATTCAAGGAGCTTAAAAAAAAAAAAAAAAAATCTTGGACTTTGAATCCCGAGTATCTGGTTTTACAAGACTGGGATAAGGCCTATGAATCTGTATTTAAAAACTTCTCCCACCACTCGTCTGTCAGTTTGTTATACTGCAGTGGCTTCTGTGTTGCTATGAGGCTGAAGACTATGGTATTTCAAGTATCAGCAGGGTTACCCATGATGGACAGGTTTCAGCAGAGCTTCAAGACTAAGAAAGACTGAAGAAGGAAGGGGTCACCCACTTCTCAAAGAATTGGCCAGTGAAAACCTTATGAATAGCAGCGAAACGTTGTCTGATACAGTGCTGGAAGATGAGCCCCTCAGGTTGGAAGGCATTCAAAATACAACTGGGGAAGAGCTGACTCCTCAAAGCAGAGTCCTCAATGGCGTGGATGGGGTAAAGCTTTCGGCACCTCCACTGCTGATGGGACACGATTCAAAACGGGAAGAAACAGCTGCAAACAGCCATCAATAATCAGAATGTGGAATGTATGAAATATGAATGTAGGAAAATTGGAAGTTGTCAAAAATGAAATGGAAAGCATAAAGATCAATATCCTAGGCATTAGTGAGAAGAAATGAACTGGTATTGGCCATTTTGAATCAGGAATCACATGATCTACTATGCTGGGAATAAGAAATTGTAGAGGAATGGTGTCACATTCATCGTTGCAAAGAATATTGCAATACTGAAAAATTCTATGGACTATCTATCCTAAAGTACAATGTCAGTGACAGGATAATATCCATACACCTACAAGGAGGATCAGCTAATACTACTATTATTCAAAGTATACACCAAACACTAAAGCCAAAGATGAGGAAATGAAACATTTTTACCAACCTCTGCAGTCTGAAATTGACCAAACATTCAAAAAAGATGTCTTGATTATTACTAGTGATTGGAATGCAAAGTTGGAAACAAAGAAAAATCGCTGGTAGTTGGAAAATATGACCTTAGTGATAGAAATGCTGCTGGAGATGACATGATAACAATTTTGCAAGACCAACTTATTTTCTGCAAATACCTTTTTTCAACAACATAAACAGTGGACTATGACAGATGGAATAAGATTGACTACATCTGTGGAAAGAGGCGATGGAGAAGCTCAGGCCAGGAGCTGACTGTGGAACAGATCATCAACTGCTCATATGCAAGTTCAAGTTGAAGCTGAAGACAATTATTACAAGTCCATGATACACTGAATACCAATGACTGAAAATCAGATAAGTTGTTGGATGACATAAAGAACATTATACATGAAGAAAGCAAAAGGTTATTAAAAAGACAGGAATGCAAGGAAAAACCAAAATGGATGTCAGAAGAGACTCTCAAACTTACTCTTGCTCTTGAATGGAGAGTTAAAGCAAATGAAAAGAATG